AATTGAAAGACCCAATCCAAAGACGGGCATCTGAAATGAATAGATACTTCTCAGATGAAGAAGTAGAACAAATAAAAATATGAAAAATGTTCTATGTCACTGGTCATTCGAGAGATGCAAGTTAAAATAATGCTGAGATTTCATCTCGCTCCAGAAAAAATGGCTGTTATGAGATCAACAGCTGGGGGCCGTGGGGAAAAGAACCCTTCTCCACTGTTGGAGGGAGTGTAGACTGGTGTAACGACTGTGGAAATCAGTGTGGAGATTCCTCAAAAATCGAAAACTAGAGGTTCCATTTGACCCAGTTATTCTCCTTGTTGGTATCTCCCCAAAGAATTAAAAGCATCATATTGTCGAAGTGTGTAAGATAGATGATCATATTACTAAGTTTTGTTGGATCATTGAACACAACTCTTTGCAGTCTCACTGTTTGAATGTCCACTTCATATGCTTTAATTTTGTAACTTGAACAACTATTTCTAAGATGTCAATAGGTAATCTATTAACTAGTTATTTCTTATTGTTTATTTTTTTTGAAATTCTGTATTACTTGTACCCTTTTTCTGTTTTGTTTTTTTCTCTTTAAATAAAATTTAAAAAATAAAAGCATCATATCACAGTGATAAACACATACATTTCTTTTCTTTTTTTTTTTTCTTTTCTTTTTTTTTTGAGACAGGGTCTTGCTATGCAGTTTGAGCTGGCCTTGAACTCACTACACACACCCATGTTTATAGTGGCACAGTTTGCAATAGGTAAATCTTGGAAACAGCCAAAATGCCCATCAGTCAATGAATAAAGAAGATGTGGGTTTTTACAATGGAGTACTACTCTGCTATAAAGAAGAATGTGTTTGAGATCTTTCCTAGCTAAATGAATGCACCTTGAGATTATACTCATAAGTAAAATAAATCAGACACATATGTTTAACTACTGCATTGTTTCTCTAGTATGAGAAACCGAAAGTGTGAATAAGGACCAAAATGTATAATAGATACTGAGAAATGGAAAGAAAATATTCAAATGAGAAGGAAGACAGGCAGGGGGCAGAGGCAAAGGAAAGAAGAGACCAAAAAAAGAAAGAGAGAGAAAGAGAGACAGAGAGAGAATAGAAGGAATAAATGTAGACAAAACTTTTTTAAATAAAGAGGGGTTGAAGGGAAGTTGGGTGAATGGGAGAAAAAAAAAGAATCAATTTATATCATGTACAGATATAAATTCCATATGATGTACGTGATCATTATGTATATATTATGTATATCTACTATGTATATCTAAAATGTACCAATAAAAAAACAGAATAACAATAGTAATAATAATCATGAAATAAAAATTACATGTACTACCAAAGTGGGGGGGGGTGTCTCTAATTTGAGGTTAGGCTAGGCTGGAACTCCCTTCTTTTATATCCTACTTAACACAGTTTTTCCAGCTCAGAAAACTGAGCTCAGCATCATTTTAGTTACTCTGGGAAGGCCTTGCTGTACATCACTGACTGTATCCACTACCACTCTCCAGCTCACACGAAAAGCTTTCAGTTTATATTAACACAGTAATTACACATCTGTAAATTGCAAGGAATTTGAAGTTTATTTTTGCAGAAGTTTTCCATACCAATGGCCCATACCTGCAGTACTGCTGATGTTAAACTGGTTCAGGGATCAGATAAAACAAAAGGAGAGGCTGGGTGCGGCAGGGCATGGAAGGCTTGGGAGGCTGAGGCAGGAGGATCCCTGTGAGTTCGAGGCCAGCCTGGGCTACACGGTAGTTCAAAGCAAGACTGAACTACATAGCACTCAAAAAAACAAAACAAGGGCTGGGGATTTAGCTCAGTGGCATAAGCACATGCCTTGCAAGCAGGCAGTTGTGAGTTCGATCCCTGGTACCAATAAAAACAAAATAAAACAAAAAACCTGTGTTGGGGCGAGGATCATGTGTGAATAATATTTGTACCTCTCATGCATCTGCCCTGGTATCTTTCATAGGGTGGTCTTAGGTAGTAGTAGCTTTGTTTATTTGAATCAAGTTGAATTTGAGGGTCTTTGTTTCTGTCTGTCTATCTTTTGATTATACAAAGTAAATAATGACAAACAATATGCAATAGGAAAAATCTCTCTCTCATTTTCATAAAAGTCGCTTTTAGAACCTGCTTCTGAAATTGTGTTATGCAGCCCAGGGTCATTTTGGAATAGGCCCCTGTCAGTAGTTAACTGAACAAAAGACAATCAGTGTCAGCTCAGTTGTTTAACCTTTGGTGGTATCGTTCTCCTAGTTTCCTTCACGTGGGCCCCAGGAATTGTGCAACTCCAAAGAGCTCGCCCTAAGTCTGCCTGTGGGGTACGGGGAGTGCTGGCGGTGCTGCTGGGGATGGAACCCAGGGCCTCCCTCGTGCTGGGCAAGTGCTCTGCACATCCCAGCCCTTTTTATTTTATTTGAGAGAGGTTCTCACCAAACCTGAAATCCTCCTTCCTCAGCCTCCCAGTTAGCTGGGATTGCAGGATCCACCACTGCACTCCGCCCAGTTCATCTTCTTAAAATGAAATGCCGGGGTGGTGATTTCCTAAAAGGTATAGCTTCTTCTCTAGGGATTTTTAGGGAAATTTGTTTCTGAGTGCTCTGTGGTTTCACTAATAGAGCTCTATCTAATTCACAAGATTGAAGAGCCATGTACTAAAGAAATATGCTGAGCAGCTCACCTTTTCAAAGGGATCTTCCATTTTCAAATTGTAGATTAAACAAAATCCACATCTGAGTTGGTGAACTGACTTGAAATAGAAATCTAGACTATAATTAGTGGGGAAAAGTCGGGACTCAAAATGTTTTACTGTTTTATTCAAAAGTCCCATGAGGGACTCTGTAGCACCCCCACACCTTTCCTAGGGATTCCATCATCTGATCTCTTTCCTGTGGCTTGACAAAAATCAAGTAATGACCTGTATGCTAGCTTTTTTTAAAGTACATGCTCGCAGCACACAACGTCTGCACTCCTTGTGTGGAGCTGGTACGTGTACACAACACACGTCTTTCCTTTTATCAGGCCCTTCTTCCCTTCCTGCATCTCTTGACCCCTCCCCCTATCTCCCTACTTCCTATTTCTATCTTTTATTTCTAAGCGGAACAGCCAGTGAGGTCAGAAGAAGTTCATGATAAACACTTAAGATTTCCTTGCGTCACTTAAAGCTTGTGAGTCTGTTTGCCTCTGTATGGGGAAAGCTAATTAGGCTTATCCCAGACTGGAGCTAACATTTCAAAATGAAAAATATTGAGAGGGGTGGGGGTTGGGGAAAAAAATATTATGGACCTGTTAAAAAGATCTCCCTAGGTCTGATTATTCCCCACTCTCACAGACCTCTGAGAAAAATGACCATATCACTGGACATGGTGGGGCATGACTGTAATCCCAGCACTCGGGAGGCAGGAGGATCACAAGTTTGAGGTCAGCTTGGCTACACAGTGAGTTCATGGCCAGCCTGAACTATACAGCCTCTCTCAAAAAAAACAAAAAGACCAAAAAAAACACCATGTAAAATTCACTGTGACTGAGAAATCAAATCAGTGAAATCAGGATTCCCTACTCCCTGTGCGTATGTGTACTACATGCACAAATTTCTGAATCTATCAGTTCAGTTGCTGGTCAAAGTGCCTTAGCTTAGGGGGCTTGTTTGTTTTTTGGTATTGTGCAAAGAACCCAGGGCCTCACATGCTAGGCAAGGACTCTGCTGCTGAGCCACATACCAGTCTTGTTTTTGTTTTGTTTTTTTAGACAGAACTTACTAAATTGTTAAGTTGCCCAGGCTTGCATAATAGAATTTATAAACCTCGTGCCTCAGCCTCCTGAGTAGCTTCTGGGCAGGGAAACCATATACCTGACTAGACCCATGACCACCCTTCCCTGATGCATCAGGAAGGGAAGAACAGGAAGCGGTCCCACTGGTGGACAACTCCTCAGGAGAGGCAGACCACCTTCCTGTGAGAGGTTGGGTGAAAGAGGTTTTAAGAATATAGATCTGAGGAGAATACAAAGGATTCACAGGAAAACTAGACCTGGGATCCACTTCCAGGACATGATGTGACAGAAGGAAAGTTTTCTCTCTGAGCCGCAAAAACATCTGGTCATAAGCTTAAAAGCAATCTCTAGGTAGTTTTAAAGAATTTTCCAGGCAGCGGTATGGTACCTGCCTATAATCCCAGCACTCAGGAGGCTGAGACAGGAGGATGGCAGTGAGCATGAGCACAGGCTGAGCTACACAGTGAGACCCTGTTTCAAAAAACCAAAAAGATTATTTGGAGGTGGGGGGTATTCCTGATTCAGAGACCTCTCACTGAGGGCCTCCAGTATCCGCACTGGCAGCTCTGAGAGCCCACATACTTTATTCCTGGTGTCCCCACCTACTCCTTACGAGACCATCGTGTAGTGTCACCAAAAAAATCTAGTTTTTCTTTCAATATTAGAAACCTAAAATGCTATCAGTAGTGTGTACAGTTTTTATCATTTCACTACTTCACAAAGATCATTCATTTTCTACCTTTAAAAACTCAACACCGCCCCTACCTCCCCGCAAAAAGAGAAAGCACACAGACTCTGCGACACACAGGAGGTAGAGAGCACTGGGGGATTACCAGAGGAAGGCCTGTGTCCCCGGGCCTGCAGCTCTCTGAGCTGCATCCCAATTCCTGACCTGGCACAGGACAAGGTGGGTGCAGGACAGAAGTGGCAACATTCAAAACATTACTGGCAGAGCTCACCAAGAGGCGTCTCCGCGGAAGTCGATATTAAAAGAGATTGAATGAAATCTTTCCAAAAGCCCTCTCCCTCTGTTTGCCCGCGGCAGTCTCTTGGGGACAGGGGAGCTTACAAACATACAGGGCACTTTGGTCTCGTGGTAAACTAAGCAAACACAGAAAGGTGGGGCTCAGCGTCCGGCTGTCCCCTGCTGGTCTCCTCCGCCCCTGGATGACACTCCCCGGAGCCCTGTGAAGATGAAGCTGCCTCCACTTACCAGAGCTCCTCAGCGAGCCAAGAGGTTGCTGCGCTCTGCTGGGTGACCAGGTGCAAGGTGTCCTTCGACCTCCTCGGTTCCTCAAGCTGCAAAACAGAAAAGAGGTCGCTACTGACCAAAGTCCAGAAAGAAGAGCCTGCAGGTCAGGACACTTTGGCCCGGAAAGCGATTGGGGGGGGTGGGGTGGGTAATACCCAATGCAGTGCTTAGCTGTCACCACGCATCTTTGTACGAGCCTGAGAGGACAAGGAAAGCCATGTAACTGGGCACTACAGGATATTTCCACCGGCCCGTACACACAGGGAAGAAAGAGGACACATCGTTTGGCCTGTTTTGCAAGGCTACATAGGTTCATATTAACTCAGTGACATTCAAGGAAAATAATCTTTCTCTAACAAGGAGGAGGAACGGAACGGGAAGGGGATGCATAGAGGTTTGACCAGATAATAAAACTCAGCTCTGCTACTTGGTAGCTGGGAAATACTGGGCATTTGACTTAACTTCTCTGACCCCCTTTTTTGCATCTAATACTGGCCTGACATTCCCTATCTAGACAGATATGAAGCTCTTGGGGCCTGGTTCAGAGAAAATGCTTAGCAAAGAGCAGCTATGATTATCATATTCCTGTAGAATACCTTCTGAGGGACTACAATGTACCTCGGATGTGCAAGGCACTACAAAAACAGAATTCTTGCTGCAGAGCACACTGAATTAGTCTTTCAGGGTACAATGAGAGTGTTCAAATTTGTTTTAAGTGTTTTGTTTTGAGTATTTTCAATATTCCTTCATCTTTAGGAACCCTTTACAGGTGGACTTTCTGCCCATACAAATGTAATATTTCTTAACTTTTCAGACTTATATTTTAATTAAACTATTTGACTAGTTAGGCTCTGTAGGGTGAATTCTATTATAACGCTATTCCTCCAAGAAGGATTTTTTTTCTCCTGCCTCACAAAGAACAACCACAACCTACCACCTGGGTAAGAAATACCGAGTCATGATAACTCCCGTTCCAAAGTTCTACCAGCCAATGGCCAAATTAACTGCGGCCGAGCTTCTGATTAACACACTGTGCTCACAGGAACTTTGGCCCACAGCAACTTGGCATTTGACACATTTCTCTGAGTCCAACCTTGTCACAAGTGCAGGTTTCAAGGGTAATAAAGGAACTAGTTGTTTGCTTACAGCTCACGAAAGTACCGCCATGTCCTTATGTAGCTTTTACCTCTCCGTCCTCCGAACATTTAGAAACTCTGTAGCCCGCATGTCAGCTTTTGGGGCGAGCAGAATGAAAGTGTGCATTCCCAACCTAAAAAAGCACCAGAGTCCTCCTTGGAGTTCTGAAATATCAGTGGCTCAAGAAACACGAATAAGGGGCTGGGGATTTAGCTCAGCGGCATAAGCACCTGCCTTGCAAGCAGGCAGTCGTGAGTTCGATCTCCAGTACTGATAAAAACAAAAAGACAAAAAAAAAAAAAAGAAAGAAAGAAACACGAATAAGGTCCCAAGATCAAAGAGCCAAAAAAGGAGATCAGGTGTTTGAGCAGGTGCATGCTATGACCATTCAGCTTCAGACTCAGAGAACAAACTGCTCTTCCTGGTGGCTCTGGACTTCCTTTTATTGACAAGTTATAAAAAGAGAATCAGACACAAGGAAGAAGCCATGGAACTTGAGAGTCCACGTCCTTGCCTGTTACAGGCTACTCAGTGCCCTCACCCAGCTAATCACACACTAACTGAATCCTCGGTCTCTGAGAATGTGTTTAGAGAAAATGGCTTTCTTCAGAAGTGTTGAAGTCTCCATGAGGTCTCTGGCTGGGCCCTCACGTGTCCTTCTAGGAAGAGGTTGAACATAGACTGAAGGATGGCCCTAGGAAGACACGATGAAGAGATGGCCCTTGACCAGCTTAGAGGAGAGGCCTCAGGAGAAGCCAAACCTGCTGACATCTCCACAAAAGAGGGAAAATGAGTTTGTGTTGCTGAAGTGACCCATGCAAAGTAAGGCCGTGGCTTGATTTTGTTGATGGCCCTTCAGTTTGCACTCCCTGGGTTGAGCCAGGGCAGTGCAACACTCAAAAAACAGCCAATGCTCATGTGTACAGCAGAGGCAGTAGCCGAACACATACAAGCTGTGGCCAAAGTCCAGGGCTGGGAACAGCAGAAGTGGGTGGATGAGTCCCAGTGCTGAGCGAGACTGGAAACACCAAATTGCAAAAGCAAAGCCAGCAGATCATGGTGACGCATCCCTATAATCCTAGCACCCTGGGATGCTGAGAACAGGAAGATAAGTTTGAGTCCAGACTGAGCAACTTAGCAAGATTCTCCTCAAAAATTAAAAGTTGTTGGGTGTAGTGGTGTATGCTCGTAATCCCAGTACCCGGAAGGCAGAGGCAAGAGGATCTCCGTGAGTTTGAGGCCAGCCTACACTACAAAGAAAGATCCTGTCGCAAAAACAGAAAAAGCAAAAAGACAAAGCCATCATCCTCCCAGAAGATGCAGTTGAAGAGACACAGAGTTGGAGCCAGGTCTGCCTGGCTAATGAAGAAATAGGTAAGCCGAATCCTAGGGTATGAGTAAGTCTGCCCTATGGTCTGACATGGAGGATGAGGACAGGACATGACATTTTCCAGACAGAAAGAACAGCCAGTTCCTGGGTACAGGGACACCAGGAGAATGGCACCTTGGGACAATGAAATTGGGCTGGCTCAACCAGAGTGGGGGCGGGCAGGTGAGGGAGCAGGGCTATTGCTGAAATAAGCACAAGCCAGGGGCCCACGTCTGGTTTCTCAGGGGCCCCTGGGTGCTTTTAATCCGGAAGGCAGCTTTCCCAGAACTACATATTAGCAGGGATGCTCTGACCACAGTGCAGGGAAGGCAACAGGCAGGACAACCTGTCCAGGAAGGTGCAGGCTGCAGCCAGAAACAGACCCCAAGTGCTTCAGCACAGCCACAGGGACAGGCAATCACAGCCCTGAGCTTTTCAACCTGGGAGCGATGTGATCAATGAGAAAACGCATTTCTCAAGAAATTTAATTCTACTTTCACATCAGAAAACTAACCCCACTTCTTCTTTTTACATATTAGGATCACATGTGACAGTGTCTCAGTTTCCTCATTATTTTCCTCAATTTAAAGTTGGTTAATAATAGCACCAGGGCTGGGGATATAGCTCAGCACAGCACCTGCCTGGCAAGCACAAGGTCATGAGTTGATTCCTGATACCAAAAAAAAAAAAAAAAAAAAAAGCACCCCCCCAGGATACCTTGAGTTAACTAGCACTAATACGTAAGTACAATAAATGTTAATTAAGGCAGAAATTAATGTTAAAGAACAAACCAGAAATTAACAATTGTGCTATTAATGGTTGTTCTCCTTCTCAGTGAATACGAGCCGCATTCAAACAGCCAACACAGCCACAAAGGTAAGACCTGCGGAGTTGTCCTAGGATAAAGCTGGGTTGGTTGGGACTCTAAGGGCAACAGTACTGGGCAAAGTGGTACAATCCCAGCACTCTGTATGCTGAGGCAGGGACAATCGATAGTTTGAATCCAGCCTGAGCAGAGACCTGTCTCTCCCACCCCTAACTAAAAAAAAAATAAACTACAAACAAATGTATATATGTATGTGTGTGTATATATATATATAAAATCTGTATCTATATCTATATATAGAGAGAATGTGCTGGGAATGTCACTCAGTGTAAAGGCCTAGGGTTCAATCCCCCAGTACCACTAAAAATGGGGGAGATATTTATATTCCAAAAAGAAGGGGTAAATATTTGCATGAAAGAGCTTGCCTTAAAAACATTCAATTTCAAAACTCATTTTCTCTTGAAATGGCTAAAACTTGTTAGGGATGCAAAAAGGCTTTTTTATGCAAGAAACATTTTTGAAACTGTCTGAAAGCTTCACCCCTCACTCATGTCCTCTGTCCAAAGGACAGCACTTCTCCACCTCTGGACTCGCTGGACGAGCTGCCCTCTGGTGGCTTTGCTATGTCTCTATTTCCAGAGCACAGTGGTGGGCAGTTAGCAAGCAGCGTGGGAAGGAGCTCAGAGAACAGGCCCAGCAGGCCAGCCTGCCGCTCTGCCACCCGGGTACACAGGCAGGTACACAGGCGGGTACACAGGCGGGTACACAGGCGGGAGCCGGCGTCAGGTCACTGAAGAAAAGAGGCTGCAACTGGATGAAAGAATGAGGCTGACAAACTCAAAAGCTGATTTAATGTCAGTGTAAACTGCTGCTCACGTGCATGTGCATTAAGACCCACTTTCACGGTGCAGAGCATGTCAGAAGCTAGCAGACCTCCCACAATTGAGGACCAAGAAAGTGGAATTGCACGTTCAGATTCTGCCATCTGCACGTATGACTCACTGTTCTCGGGAAACTGTACAAAAAAGAAAATGAAAAGCCAAATAGTACCCAATGCTGTTTTTATTTTTATTTATTTATTTGTTTGGGTACCGGCGATTGAACTCCTGACCTTGTGCTTGCCAGACAGGTGCTTATGCCGCTGAGCTAAGCCCCCATCCCCCAATGCTGTTCTTAAAATGAACATTGGCATGCAAATTTCAAGTGTCTAATAAGATTTTCAGCATTATTAGTTAAGGAACAGAGGGAAGGTGGAAGTAGAGGAGACAGGAGGTCAAAAAGCATCTTTTCAAAAGATGCACTGAAAACAGATTAAACATGACACAGGGAGACAGTAAAACTCGCCAAGTCCAGAACATGTACTAGTTGGGCTAGAAGAATTTGCACCCAGATGAGGCTCACTCCTTCTCTACTTCCCTCTCTTCCTTAAACATGCTAAATCCACATTCTAACAGACTGACCTTTTTTCCCTCTGCAAACATGTCACTTCTTGGAACTGTCTGATGGCTTCTCCTCACGCTTAGAATAAAATTGGAAATCCTTCCACAGTGTCCCAAGGGAGCAGCCCGGGTGTTCCTTCTGCTCCGTGCCAGGCCTGTCTGCAGACGCCTCTGACCTCGGCCCTGACTTCCTCCTCCTGCCCGCTGCAGCCAGAGGCAGCCACCAGGCAGCTCATTCACCTGCCTGCATTAGCACTCAATGGGCCCCACTCCCCC